ACTCGGGATACGCCCAGAGTCACGGAACGCATTAAGTTCGTATCCCGAGGTACCACTGTAAATTACTTGACCAAATAACACAGGTTTTGTTTTTTATGTGTAAAAAGGGTTTTATCCTAAGTAATTGTTCCTGTTCGTATGTAAGTAGAAGGAACTAGCTTGTTGTTCCCCTCCTCCCCTCCATTCCTTCAATCTGTTGGCCACTTTGGAAGCTGAGCGTGGCTTGTTGGATGTGTCAAGGCTCATATTACTGGCTTGACAGTTTTTCCATGTCAACTTCTCAATTCTGCTCTCCACTTCTGGGCACAGGTCAGTGCAGAGGTCTGCCATGTCAGAGACCTAAGACTCTTGCATTGTTTGTTTTGTAGAAACATTGCAAATCATAAACCCTCTGGGTTTTGAGAAAAGAGAAAAATTAACAGGGAGAGGAAGATCAGCAGGGGTAAGGCATTCCCCACTAGCTTGAAATGCTTCCAAGAGGATTAATTGGTCTTGGCTTAAAATCCTGTGTTCTAGCAGATTCATCCCTAAAATGAGACTTTGAATCATATTTGAGATTTCTGGGGCTTGCTGCTTGCTGCATGGAATGCACTTGAATGCTGTGCATACAGGGAGGAAAATATAAAGCTGGTGTCATGTCTCCTTTTGTTTTATTAAATGCAAAGCACTTTTCAAAAATATTCTGGCTTAAAATCAGAGCTTTGTGAATGTACTGGTTCCAACTGTAAGCTATTACTGTCTGAACTCTGTGTGTGAATTTGTGTGAAATGGAAAACAGGTGAAACTGCATGGCCATCCATAAATGGCTTTTATAAAGCCCTGCTTGAATAAGGCTGACATTGAGGCCTCCTGTGGTTATAATTAAAGCTATGCAGAGGCAAGCCATTCTAGTTTAGAGGCTCAGCCCAGAATTTCAAAAATGGTTGTATATAGTTTCTCCAAAGGTGGTTCAATTCTACTTTTTGCCTGTAACTCTTTTTAGCATGGGAAGATTGCAAGCATACAGGTGTTACTGTTTTTCAGCAGAATGGAAAGATACTTGCAAAAAACCTAGACCTTTATAAGATTGTACAGCAGCCCAAATTTCATAGAAATTGTTGTTCCTCTAATTTTGTTAGGGGATAGAATGTGATGAAATTTGCAGCGGTAAGTAGCCTTGAGGTGGGGAAAAACTAAATTGGGGATGGATTTGGACAAAAGGAAAGGATTTCTGTAAGAACTAGTGGTGTTTCTTCTTGAATGCAGTTAAAGTGATAGCTGGTTTGAGGCAGAAGCATGAAAAATTAAGACACTGGTTATTTCCATAAAAAAATAATAATTTGGCTAGCTCAGCTAGCTGGCAGAGTTCATAAAATACCATACATAACTGAAAAACTGGGCAAAGATGAGCTGGAACAAATCATAGAGCTCAGGATCTCTCTACCTTTCCAAGATATGGGGAAGCCAATGGTGGTCTGAAGACAGAGGTCACTCTGATGGGAGGGCAGACCAGTTACTCATTAAATCTAGTATCCCCACCCCATGTCATTTTACATAAATAGTATTTCTTTCTAGGTGTGGCTGCTATGGCACCACTGCCCTTGCAGCATTCTGGAACTCTAAAGAAACCGACTGATTTTGTCAGGGCCCAGAATCAGGGTGGAATGCTGATACGTTTGTTCCATGCTGTATAAATAAAAATCTGTTCTGGATTTTCTATTCAGCCTCATCATCAGGCCAAATTTGGTTCACACCTGTAATGGTAGTCATGTATTATGTTAAATATTTAACCATATTTAAATTTGGTTTAAATTAAACCATTTTCTTCTCTTTCAAATTAGATAGTTAAATGTTGAGATCACAGTTGTTGAGGTCCTTTTATTGTGCAGCTTCTGGTCTATCCTCAGAGCTATAGAAGTGGGTAAGCAGTTTAGCACATACAGTAGACCTGACTTTTGGAGGATTCCTGTTTGAATCTGAGCAACGATAAGCATATCAAATCATGTTTTTATTTTTGCATCCAAAACAAAAATGTATCATCCAGGCTCAAAAATGGATGATGTCTGTGATTTAATTTTCTTTCATTTCTAACAGCATGTATACTGATAATCATATTAATGCAAAGCACACTGAAGTAAGATCACATTTAATCTGACTTTGCTTTCCTTCTTACAGGTATTGTAATGAGCATTTGCTCTGTTCCCCGCATATGTTCTGGACTGGCTGGGGTGTATGGGAGCGCTGTACAGCCCAGTGTGGAGGAGGCATTCAGGCTCGCCACCGAACTTGCGAAAATGGTCCAGATTGTCCAGGTTGCAGTGTTGTGAGTAATACCTGCGTTTATTGCTCAATTTTGTATTTGTAGGACTTTACTACAAATTTGTGAGTCAAGAAGGTAGCTTTGTATGATCCAGAGAAGAATTCAGAGATACACTCATTCATTACTACACAACAAATATTATTATTATCATTTTTAGAACTGTGCAGTGTTTCAGATTTTACCTCCAAATGGAGCTGTGGAGCACATGGGAACATGAATGCAGCACCTTGAAAAGCAGCTGCACAGCTGCTTTAAGGTGCTGTAGGCTGCTCCATGTTTGCACACGGTAGGGTGGAAGTTGTGCTCCTGGTATTCTGTCTCCAAAGTGTCCTTCCTGCACGGTGGTGGGAGGCTGCCCTGATGCTAGAATCCATTCCACTGCCCAGTGAATTTGTTGTTGTTGATGTTCTGGTATTTGGGAGCTGTTTTTAACATTAATTCTATAGCTTTTCTGAGTTCTGCTGCTGCGCTGATCTGTCCTATGGATTTTTGGATTTCTATCTATTATTGTTTGGTACTTTTATGATATGCTATCCTACTGGTTTACTGAGAAAAACTAGAACTCTCTTAGATAAATAAAATCTATTTATATTCTGTCCACACAAACTCAGGCTAAGAGGATTCTCCATTTCACTTTAGCTTTCAGTGGCCTCTGAATACTACATTGTAGGGTTATTTTGGTCTACCTTGGTGAACCTTTAAATCTGAGTGGTAAACAAAAGGTCAGAGCAGTCCTATCATAACTTAACAGATCAAAGCAAGTTTTCTCTTGTGATTTTTACTGAGGGGTGTGATTTGGCATTAACCCATGAGAAGTCAACCATTGCACATTTGTAGGAGAAAACATGTTTCATTTTAGTTGCTCTAATTATGGCTCTTATTTGATCCAGTCTTAAAGTCTGTTTGTGCTAACTGTATATGTAGAATGAAAAGTTAAATATTGTGTAATGAACAACTCTAAGCTGAGAGCCCGAAATGAGAGGATTTCATGGTAAGCATCAATATTGCAGTAACCATTAGTTCAGATGGTAGATTTTTCAATAGAGGAAGAATCCAGAATCTACAATGTTACATTTTAACTAATCAGAGATAGCTAGTTTAAAAGCTATGCCCTCCATGCCTATCTGTTTAAGGGCTGAATTCACCCTAGCCCCTTTCTCTTGCTATGGTACCACTGGGGTATCTGCCATTCTTGATCCAGCAGGCACTGCATAGAAATCAGCAAGAGATTCTACAGGGGTGACAACTGTACCAAGGCACTGGGGAAAGGTTCAGTTAGGTGGTTTAGCCAATGCATGAGAAAAATCCCTTGAAGAGAAGTGCTTGGCCAGATTAGCTGCATCCAACCTGAATGGACTATGAGGTGGGGTTGAAATAGAAGCCAGGGGTTATGGGGCTAGTATCTCATAATTATACCAGCCAGGAAAATACAGTAGTTTTCTGCCCATGGAATTTCTTGTGATGGAGCACTAAGCCATCTCTAATGGCCTTGCTCTTCCCTGACGCTGATGGGCAGGAGGGCTGGAATAAACAGAACAATAGTAGTGCTATTTTTAACATACATATACTGTAAGTGTTTACATTTGGGGTGACAGCTTGCTTCATGCATAGATTTAACCTTTCAAATTCTAAATGTTTTGGGACAAGATTACCCAAATATTCCTAGAGTTGCTGTGGCCTCAGAAACTCTGCTCCAATTTCTACCACCAGGCAGATGTAATTGGAGAAGGGTCTTGATGGTTGGGTTTTCTTCCCTTTCGAATTCATTCCTCAGAGCAATTTGCTTGTGATTTTTAAAAGCTATATTTCCACCAGTATCAGTGGATTTTGTTTAAAAAAAATAACAACTGTGGACACAATTAAAAATATTCCATTTAAGCAATCAAGTATATCCTTGGAATATAAAACCATAAAATATAATCCATTGTTTCAGAATTCTATTATCCAGTGGATCTGGAGTTTACAAGATAACCATTGTTATAACTTGTGCTTTATTTATTGTATAAGTCTATTGGTGTCCAAATGATAATTTCTGCAATTTATAATTTTTTTTAGCTTCAAATTCAAAATAATTTGGTCCATGGAAGATTGAATCTGGTGCAGTCTTTCAACTTGCATATAAATCATGTAATATACAACCCTGTTATAATTTACAGTCTGTCACCATGTCATTTCTTGTAGGAGTATCAGGCTTGTAATACCAGCCCTTGTCCAGAACTGAAGAAGACAACTCCTTGGACTCCATGGACACCAGTGAATATCTCTGACAATGGTGGGCACTATGAACAACGATTCCGATACACTTGTAAGGCACGTCTTCCTGATGCAAGTTTGCTAGATGTGGGAAGGCAAAGGATTGAAATGCGCTATTGTTCAAGTGATGGTGCTACTGGATGTGCAACTGATGGTAAACAATCAATTTATTTATTTATTTTACTTATTTATTAAATTTCTCCCCGCCCGTCTTGCCCCAATGGGGGACTCTGGGTGGCTCACACAA